CAAGGGCCGGCATTCTTCATTTTTTAGTTCTCTCCCTGGTTTAACACACCTGGATCAAATGATGGCTCGTTAGAAGACCTAGAGGGGTGGGAAATCCTGGTCCTGGAGGACCGGTGTCCTGCAACTCTTAGATGTCCCCCTGGTCCAACGTACTTGAATCCAACAGCTGAATTACCTCCTAAATGCAGTCTAGTTCTCCAGAGTCCTGCTAATGACCTCTTTATTTGACTCAGGTTGAAGTAGACCGGTCTACTTCGACCTGTTTCTCTACTCTTGAAGTAGAGACACATCTAAAAGTTGCTGGAGACCGGTCCTCAAGGCCTGGAGCTGCCCACCCCTGCAATAAGAACACTGATATGCTGAAAAGATCGTTACTATCATCAGGCACAGGGAGAGAACTACAACATGCAGCCCTTGGGGACTGACTTTCGGCACCACTGCTGTTGGTAGAACAAGTTGGACCTCAGAGTCGCTGTCAGCCTGCTGGCTGAACTCAAGAGGTTCAAGTGATCTGATGTGAATGTTCGGATCTGGAAACATATTAAATAACATATAAGAAGATATCAGTTTAATTTACAGCTGTCAATTTCCATTATAGGCTTCCGGCTGTTTTTCTATTACAAATGTGCACTAAATTTTGTCGATATTCTGGCAATGTTGGGGGGAAAAAACCCCCACATAATTGCGGTGTTTCCAATAAATAAGAAGCACAATTAAAATCATATAAGTTTGTTGTGTAATAACTCATTAAAAAAAACATGCTGCGCCATTGTCCTCCAACCATGTTTCCACCAGTAGTAACATCCAGTTGTTGATCAGTGACTCATGATGTGAAAAAACTGTTTCCATTGCAGTTTTGCAGCTTCTCTGTTGTTTTGTGATAGACTTGCAACCTCTTCAGAGTGAACTCCAGCCATTGAGCTGGAGGCCTGTCTGCAGCCCAATAGCAGCTCGAGATAGGCCTCTTGATATCTTTGCAGCTCAATGGTTCTTTAAGGTTGTAGCACTGATTCTGAAGACTGATGTATTTAATCTGAAATCTCTTACTATTTATTCCAGACAATGGAAGACTTCCTGAGCAGCTTGGAAGACTCTGCAGAGGTCTGCGGCTTCATGCTCAAGAAAGGAGACAAGAAGAAGGAAAGGTAATAGGAGCACTGGTTTACTACCCAGGATCTGAACTGTATCTGGATGTTTTCACAAATCAGAGGTGTGTTAATGCATGCAGACAGGCGCAGTTCCTGCACCGCCAGGCCCTGACAGAGCAGCTGAAAGAGGCAGAGGACCCAGCGCTGGTGCTGCACCTGACCAGTGTGCTGCTGTTCCAGGCGTCCACCCACTGCATGCTGCATGCGCCGGGCCGCTGCGTCCCACAGGTTATCGGCATACTGACGGGCCGCATCCCACCGGTACGTCCGGCACAGGTCGCTACAGATCCACAAATACCCAGCAGCTGATTGTGTGTGTTTGTTTCCAGGAGCAGCAGCAGCTGCTCTCTGCCTACCAGGGCCTGGTGGTGAAGCAGCTGGTGTGTCAGAACCAGAGCAGGAAGCAGGAGGAGGAAGATGGTGATGAGGAGGAGAAGGAGGAAGTCAGGAAAGTCCATGCCCAGCTGCTGACCCTGACACCCCAGGTGAAGCAGCTGGTGCTATCCCAGAGGAAGACATCTGTCAACGAGGACTGAAGGAAAAAAAAACATCCTCCTTCCTGCTCCTGCTATGAAGTCAGACAGTAATCCTGCATGTCATGAGTTGTAAATGTGGGTATCATTTCAAATCATGAAGTGAAATTCCTCTGTGGGATGAGTCCAGTAAACACAACATTAACATGGAAGTCCTCAGTGAGGTACTGATTTTCATAATAAAACTGCTTCTTATTTCCTTGTGTGATCAGTTCATTTCCCCTCAGTGAATCATTTCTCAGCAGGCTGAGTCAAACCACAGGAATTGCTGTGACATTACAAAAAGCATGCAGCAGGAGCAGAGACTGAACCACTTAAGAGATATAATGAGCCACTGCACAACTGTGAGACTGCAGATGTGTCTAAATCATAGGTGTCAAACTGGCCCGTGGGCCAAATTTGGCCTGCAGTGTAATTATAGTTGCCCTGCAAGGCAATACTAAATGACTACTAGAGCTGGCCTGCCGGTACTATGCAGCAGTGGTCCCCAGTCGCAGACCGGTCAAGACTTGACAGTTTTTCTGTGGCAGGGGTAGAGCAGCTTCTGCATGTTGGTGTGTCCGCTAAAAGTTAGTTCATATGGCACAATTTTAAATTTTTTGCCCCGATTTTTCCCTTAGGACAATCTTAGAACCTTCAAGATTCATTCTTATTCAATAATGAACCAACTGTTCATTACTGAGTGAATAATGAACAGTTATTCACTGTTCATAAGGGCAGGGCACAAAGAAGGGTTTGCTCTGAGAGAGGGGCCCGTGCCCTGGAAAACGTCGCTTTTCCAGGGCATGGGTAGGAGGAGTGGGCTCCTCCTACCCAAGGAGAGCCCACTCATGGTTGATCAAGCCATGCTGTGTGTTCGAGATAAAAATAAGACTTAAATTGAGACTTGAATTTTGTATATTTGTCCAGGATCATGTGTGAAGTCTCAAACAGGATTATTGCGGAACCCCCATTAGCCTTTCATTCTCCAAAGATGAATCAGGAATTTAAATCAGATTAATGCAGAATAAATCAAACCTTTATTTCCAAGAGAACACCAAAATCTGGTTTTAAACTGAGTTAAATCCAGCTTTATTCTTCTATCCTTTACTTTTTAGGTTTTTAGTGGTCCCAAAAGAAGGTTAAATGACTGATTGAACATGGAGAAGACTTGCTCAGCATTAGACACAGCAGTTCAGCTGTAGGCATATGCATTCTCTGTCATCAAAATGGCAGCGTGCAGCTGTAGTATGTAGTAAAGAAGGAGCCATAATTTACTCTGGGCAAGTCCAGTTGCCATATAGTCCAAGACTGATAGTCTGTTCAGGTTCTTAGCCGATCTCCAGTTCTTTTCAAAGCTTGTTTTAACTCATGTTGAGAGAATAAAATCATTATCTTCTGGCTCATTATATTCTCCTATGCTCTCAGATTCAATGATTCCATGCATGGAAATAAAAGCCACACAGAGATGACAGTCAATGTTCCACGTCATGCATTTTCAGAGTTTATTCTAATATTTTAAAGTATAACATGACAACAACACAGACACTTCATACAGACTAAAACAGACATTCATTTACCTCAGACAGATGGAAAAGAAGAAAGAAAGAAAAGCAAAGACGTCTTTGGAGAATTGCGAGAGCAAATCTGATTTGTTACTCCTGTGTAGAAAGTTTTATAGTAAAGTCGTATTCTTGTCTTTAATTTATTAAAATAAGGCGTACCTTTGCTCATCCAACCAGGAGCTGTCTCGGACCCTTTTTAAAACTCCCTGCAAGTCACGATCTAAGGCCATTTGTCCCCATTATCTAAACAAAATGGAAGCAGACTCTCCTGAACTCCTGCTGTTTTATGGCTTTTCACGGATCTGTGTGAAAAGCTGTAACTTCTCCTGATTCTTTCCCACACACACAAAGGGCAGTTCCAAAGATCTTAGCAAACCATCTGCTGTAACTACAGGTAACATAAAGGTCAATAGGCCAGAATAAGCTTCTAATTTTAAAACTATAATTAGGCTATTTCAATCAAGACATGTTAAGTTTTAAAACTAGCATGTTTTAAATTTATTTTCTTAACACTCATATAGTCCAAAAGAGGAGCTCATACTGATTTCAACAGTATATAGTTTGTCAAGGTTTGTATCAAAGGCCAGTAAGCTATAAGCCGATTTAAAGGCCCAACCTCAAAGTATCCTGGGAAATATAGCGGGCATGTTTATAGTTCAAGTCTGATTTTCCGTTCAGTTCTTCGCCGATCCCCAAATCATTTTAAAGCTTCTTCTGACCCATGTAGTTTAAAAGAGAAGTTCATGCTGAATCCAACCGTATAAAGTTTAACAGGGTTTGCATCAAAACGGTCAAACTAGAAGCTAATTTAAAGTCCTGACCGCTAAGCATGATGGGTAAATGAAGCGGACATTTTTGTAGTCCAAATCTGATTGTGTAGTTCCAGCCCTCGGCAGAAGCTCAGAAGTGAAATTAAAAACTGTATCAAGCTTCATATCAGGAAATGGAGTTTGCAAACAAACAATTAAAAGAGCTTGGTGAAAAAGCGGAGTTTTAAAGACAGCAGTCAGCCTTCAGAGGAGCACTCAAGTAATTGCAGTGCATTCTGGGTAACACTCGCGGACATCTTTGTAGTTCTGATCTTATTGAAGTGAGAATAAAGACTGAATCAGGCTTCATGTCAGAAACACCGAGTTAGAAAATAAAGAAATTAAAAAGGAAATAAAAGAATGTGATGAAAAAAGGACTCCACAATCAAAATTCCAATCTTCAGAATAGGAAACAAGCAATCGTCCTGCATCCTGTGGAAGCTCAGAGTGGAGACCTAAAGCTGAGCAGGGTGTGCGCATTTTATCTCGGGGTAGGCATGTTTGTGTTTGGTGATGTCTTTAATGTATTTATCTCCTTTAGCTCCACAGACAACACTCTGAGGCCCAAAAGGTGGAGGCGAAGCTGTGAGGGATACACAGACTTGGGCACTTTTCTCAAGTCTTTTAGGATAACCCTGAATGATGCGCCGCCTCCTAAAAAGAAAGTGGAGGCCAGATTCCCAGGCGCCTCTTTGACAAGTTGCAGTCGATTCAGTTTAAGACGAGGCGGGACCACCTGATTGAGTTTCTTTTTTTTCCTCCTCTTACTGACCCTACCATACCAGGTTCTGATGCAGGGCACATTATATTCAGCTCTAACCGCATGCATGGGTAGTTTCTGTCTCCTGGCCAAACGGAGCCAGTAGAAGCCTATATTGGCCAAGATGGAGAGCTTCATTGTAAAGTCCAACTGAACTGGGAACTGTAACACTGCAGAGGAGGTCCTGGAGATCTGCACTGTGCTATCCACCACACCCCAAAACCAGCCAGGACTTTATGTGCCACATCCAGGACCAGAAGTGAACGGGACTTGTCATTTCGGAGAGCTAGAAGACTGTCAGCAGGAGAGGTGGGTGGATATCAAGTGCCGGTTCCTGGATCTTCTTTTGGAAAATGACACTTCTGTAATTAAAATAATAATAAATTCATAAATAATATTTTTATTTCTTCCACATGACTCTTTGTGACCAGGACTTTCATCAAGGGGTCCATCGCATGTGACTACCATGGAATATTCACTATTGCTGCCGAGGCTGGCGGCTTGCGGGGTCCCTGAAGGCGGGACAAGATGCATAGATTTACTTTTTCCAAGTCTGGGGACCAAGGACTTCTGCATAAACTCTCAGGTCCACCTGTGTGATAGTCATCCGCAGCTCGCCATCTTTGGGTGACCGATAAACCTTTCTGCCAAAAACTTCAACACTGTTAGTAAAGTTCCCAGGCCTGGCAGACCCATTTCTCCTAATAAAAACAACAAGAGACATCAAGCCAGGAGAGGAGATCTACATGGACCATGGGGTGAGGCAGTACTCGTTTAGGGTTGGAAGGCCAGGGATGATCTTAGCTGGATGGGTGAGGTTGGCTCACCTCCCCCCAAGAGAAATAGTTTAGTCTTATGTTGACAATGTTCTATTCAATAATTTATCAGTTAAAATTTTTATTTTAATTTGACTGTGGTGTTGTAGTAAAAAGTTCAGTGTTTGAAGTTTTAGTGTTGTAATTGCTCTTTTGTGTGTACTCCAAAGTTCAGTATGACTTTAAATTGTGTTGTTGCAATTAAAGTTTTTGTTTTGTCTTGTGCTGCTGAATTTTTTTAACCTATTTTTTCCTTCCGGTCCTGGATACAAGATGGTTGACCAACCATGGTACAGAATGTTTTCCTTTTGCATTTGTTTTAAACTTTGGCTGTGAGCATGTGTAAAATATTTGGTCAAAAGGCCAAGGCAGCTGCCTTGCAGTGGAGGACATTTTGTGAGTTCAACCCCTAAAAAAATCTTTGGTTGCTGTTCCTGTTATTGTCCACTAGATTCAGGCATTGCTATGTCAGGTGAAATCTGCATTGCTGTTACAGCTTTTATCCAACTTTAGCTTTGCTTCCTGTTGCATAAAGATGGCCCAAATGAAACACACTGAGGTTTGTGCATTAGAGCTGAGAAAATGGAACATATTAAGAGGTCAGATTCCTTTTGCAAGATACTGTAAATGTCATGTTGGGTTCCAGTTTCTTTACCCACATACAGAACACCACCAGGAGAAGAGATAATCAGATAAATTATTTCAACAATGATGAGAATGTGAGAATCTAAGTCTGGTCCTTCGGAGGGGCTACCAGAGTCGTCTGTTTTCTGAAGAGTAGTCAAAGGAAAATGGTGAGTTCGAGGTTGTCGGAAAAATGGAATCTTTGAAACAATCAGAAAGATCTTACTTGTTTTAGAAGGAGACTTTAGCCAAAGAGGAGATACTGTGGGCTCTATGGTTGGGTCTCTTTGTGGGCGTTCTTGAAGTGATTCAGATTCCAGTGAGTTCTTGATAGAACGGGTTGTTGGAGATGAGGAGGCCACATGTGTTGGAGGGCAGACAGGTAAGTACAGGCGGGCAGGAGCGAGCTGACTGGTGTCAAGGTGTTGGCAGTCAGCTCCTCATGTACTGAGCGTGCATGCTGAGTCAGCATGCACGCTCTCCACAGGTGCAGATACTCCAGTCGCCCTCTAGTGGATGAAATGGGGAAGCAGCAGGCAGACAACCCCCCCCACCCACACAAAGAAACTAAAAGCCCTGGTTCCCAACATGCTGGAGTAGTTATTTTATTTAAAAGTTTAATAGGACAGAATCCAAGACTGTTTAATTTTTCTCCAACCAAACTTTAAATTTTTCCAAATCTGTTTCTGCTCAACCTGTAAAAGCAACAAACATATAAAAAGAAATGCTCATTATTTCAGAAAAACATGTCAACTCCATATTTGATATTTGATTGGAACATCTTTATTGATAACTTTAACTGGAAAAGGATTTAGACTTTACCAAATATATGATAACTAATAAAGTAAAAGAAGTATCTTTTAAAATTATTCACAGAATTTACCCATCCAAAGTTTTTCTACAATGTTTTAACAATAACATAGCTATTTGCTCTTTTGTGAAGGAAACACAGAAGATATCTGATATATTTTGGCTTTTTCTCTGTTCAATTTTGGAAAAGTATTTTCATTGTGATTTCTGCTTCTATTGAACAGTATGTCTCCATTTGTTTTGAACATGTATTGTTTTGCTTCATTAACTATCCAATAGCTAAAAAAACATTTTTATATTATTAATCTTATATATATATAGGGGAGGGTTATGGGACGGAGGCAAAGACCACCGCGGGAGACCCCCTTAACGGGGTCCCAGAGGGCTGTAACTCGGTGGGTCGGTTGGGGGCCATCCCCCCGA